TCTTCTCTACACATAATTGGCAGGAAAAGGCTTCTTTGAAAAGTGGGCCACCGTAGCTGGGGCATTTGAAGGATAAAAGAGTTCCGCATGACCTCCCTCCTGTTTACATTTCATCTTTGAGTTCATCACACTCGGTACACACCGCGGACTGCACCCCCCTCAGTGCACTCTACCAAGTGAGAGCCTTGGCCTCGGAAACCTACCATCCGCACTGGCCTGAATTTTTTTGATTATTTATCTTGTTTCTATATAACACCACAGAAGACATCCCCAGCTAGCCATGCACTTTATTTTGGAGCAGCCAGGAGAGTCTTGAACTCCTCGTGGGGCGGAGCAGGCCATCCTCGCAACCATCTCCAGGCGCCTCTCAAAGAGTGTCTTACCTTGAAACAAGGTCAGGAGCCTGGGGAACCCCCACCCTTGAACTCATCACCGTGCCTGGCCAAGGCGGGGATTCTTGTCAAAGATCTTGATCTCAACACTAGGACTTTTGCGTTTTTTCCCTTGTTTTCCCATCCTTTCTCTGTCCAAATCTGGAGCCCCTGTGAAACTACCCAATCCCACAAAGCGCACATTCTTCTGTGCCCAGCTCTTGGGAACGGGTAGTACTGAGTGGGCAGCCGGGTCCTCTGAGGCAAGGCAGAGCTGGCCTTAGGAGGGTGGGAATGGAGTTTAAAAAGGAGGGGAGCAGTTGGGGGTTGAGGGAGGCGCTCCAGGAAAAGACCATAGTTAGACAGTGGCTGGTTGGAACTGCAACATTAAGGTCTCCGAAGGGACTGGAGGCGCTGGGCGGACAGGGACTAAGGATGACGATGACCACAGAGTGGGGGTAGGCAGCTGAGGAGCCCAGCTTCCTTCTAAGGATGAGGGCAAGCTTCAAAGAATGGCAGAACAGGGCAGAGGCATATCTTTTAAATTTTATTACTGTTATTTTTAGAGACAATGTTTTTTTCTGTCACTCAGGCTGGATTGTAGTGGGCTGATAATAGCCCACTGCAGCCGCTCCAACTCCTGAGCTCAAGGCATCCTTCCTCCTCAGCCTCCCAAAGGGCTGGGATTACAGGCAAGAAGTAATTTTTTTTTTTTTTTTTTGAGATGGAGTCTTCCTCTTTTTGCAGGCTGCGCAGTGCAGTGGTGTGATCTCAGCTGACTGCAACCTCCACCTCTCGAGTTTCAAGTGATTCTCGGCCTCCAAGTAGCTGGAATTACAGGATGGCCAGCAGGCCCAGCTAATTCTTGTATTTTTAGTATTTTAGTAGAGACAGTTTCAAACTTCTGGCCTCAAGTGATCTGCCCTCCTTGGCCCCCCGAAGTGTTAGGAATACAGGTGTGAGCCACGGCCCGGCTAGAAGTCAGTTTTTACGTTGTCATTGTTGTTGATGTTTTTAACAGAGGGTCTTGCTCTGTTGTCCAAGGTGAGTGCAATGGCTCGACCACAGCTTGCTGCAAGCCTCGACTTCCGTGCTCAGGCGATTCTCCACCTCAGCCCTCCTGAATAGCTAGGACTGCAGGAATGTGCCAGCCATGCCCAGCTAATTTTTAAAATTTTTTTTTTGTAGGGATCAGGATGTCACTATCTGTGCCCAGGCTGGTCTCAAACTCCTGGGCCAAGCCATCCATCCACTTCAACGTCCCAAAGTGCTAGGATTACAGGCCTTTGCCACTTGCACCCAGCAAGAAGTCAGATGTTAAGTGTTCTGAAGATCTCACTGAATGCCAGGTATGGCGGCTTGCACCTGTAGTCTCAGCTATTCTGGAGGCCGAGGTGAGAGGATTGCTTGAGCCCCGGAGTTTGAGACCAACCTGGGCATCATAATGAGGCCCCAACTGAAAAAAAAAAAAAAAATTCCCATCTGGGCATGGTGGCTCCAGCCTGTAATCCCAGCACTTTGGGAGGCCGAGATGGGCGGATCACGAGGTCAGGAGATCGAGACCATCCTGGCTAACATGGTGAAACCCCGTCTCTACTAAAAAATACAAAAAACTAGCCGGGCCAGGTGGCGGCCGCCTGTAGTCCCAGCTAGTAGGGAGGCTGAGGCAGGAGAATGGGGTAAACCCGGGAGGCGGAGCTTGCAGTGAGCCGAGATCCGGCCACTGCGCTCCAGCCTGGGGGACAGAGTGAGACTCCGTCTCAAAAAAAAAAAAAAAAAAAAATCCCACTGAGACCACCTGGGGTGTCACCCTGCTGCACCTCAACTATTTTCTGGGAGGCACCCCTGACTCCAGGACACCCAAGTCTGCCTTCACACACAGGACAGGACCGAGTGGGGGCAGTTTGCAGCCCCAGGAGTGGGTGTGTAAACACCCTGCTCTCTTGTCTCTTGGGTAGAATCAATTGCTGGGTCAAAGGCTCAAGAGATACACCCATTCAAAAGATGAGCAGTTGGCAGGGCTGGGTGGCTCATGCCTATAATCCCAGCACTTTGAAAGGCCGAGGCAGGCGGACCACCTCAGGTCAGGAATTCGAGACCAGCCTGACCAACATGGCGAAACCTGTCTCTACTAAAAATACAAAAATTAGCATGGTAGTAGGCGCTTGTAGTCCCAGCTACTCCGGAGGCTGAGGCGGGAGAATCCCTCGAACCCGGGAGGCGGCGGTTGCAGTGAGCCGAGATCGCACCGCTGCAACCCAGCCTGGGTGATACGGGGAGCCCCTGTCTCAAATAAAATAAAATTAAAATAATAAAATAAAAAAGAAGAGGAGCAGTTCAGGGGTGCTCCCAGTGCCCTGGGAGCCCGACATTCAGGATTCCCAGCTGCTGCTTTTGGAGCCATACGACCCAGCCCTAGGGGCTTGCCCCTGAGCCCATGACCCACAGCGCCAGGAGCAGCCCTGGCCGTTGGCCCTGGAGTGGAAATAGCCGGGGCCCTCACCCCTAGAGTGGGGCCATTCTAGGTGCACGATCACTCTATGCTGTCCTCAGAAGCCCCCGCGGGCTAAGCACCCGCTGCAGGTGCGCGTCCCCTGCAGGGCTCCTCCCGCCTCGCCTCCCCACCCCTGCACCTGGCAGCCCTCCCGGACACCCCACGGGCTCTTTGAGTCCTCATCTCAGGTCGGCTTCTGGAGGAGGCACCCCAAGCCAAGACTAGGCAAGAATGAGGCGAGTTCTGAGCAGCCACCGTCAGTCTGGTCCACGGACGCCACGCGCGTTTTATTTTTAGGTATACACACAAAGAGGAAGAAGGAAAGGAGTGCCCCCAGCGTGGATTGAATCCAAGCCCCCACCAAGGAGGGGGCCGTCACTGTCGAGTCTTCTCTGAAGAGGCCTGGAGGGAGGTGGGGTCCCCACGTGCCCTCGTCGTGCCCGGCGAGAGCCCTGGGCCTGTGCCACCAGGGGTCTCCTACCGGGGCCAGCCGTCGGCCAAGGGCAGCCGGCGCAGGGCGGGCCCGGGCCGCAGAGGCTCTGCCAGGGACCGGGCGAGGAGCAAGGGGTAGGGGAAGGTCTTAGGAAAGTCGCCGGGGCCCCCGGGGGCCGGAGAGAGGCGCTCGGACTTGATGCTGACTGGGGGGGTCGGCGGGGAGGCGCCGCGGGTTGGGGGGCCCTCCTCGCCCAGGCTTCGGCCTCCACTGCAGGGGGAAAGAGAGAGGGAGGCCGTGAGCTCAGCGAGGAAGGGAAGGAAGCCAGGGGATGGCACAGCGTGGGCAAAGGCTTGGCAGGAGGACCTTGGGAAAGGAGGGGGTGGCGGTCCCTCTTGGGGCCTCAAAATAACTGCCCATCCGCACCGGAAGTGTGCGCAGTACCAGGGATGGCCACCAGAGGTCAGCAGCGGCAGGGGCTTTGGAGAAGCGGGACTTGAGCTGGGGCCGTCGTCAGGGCACTTACCTGGGCTGGGAGGGCACGGCGGGGGGCCCATCACCCCTCGAGGGCTGCCAGGGGGCCAGTGTGGGGGGCTGCAACAAGCCAGGGGGCGGTGGAGGGTCTCCCAGGCCATATTCTGGTGGGCAGGAATTGGGGGCTGAGGCCTGGACCTCTCCTTAAGCCTCTTGCAAACCTGACCACCCCCGGTGAGTTTTGAGTTCTGGTGGGTGGGAGAGTGTGGAACTCCCAGAGGGCAGGAGTGCGGACGCTTCCCAGGCGGGGCGGGGCGGGGCGGGTTAGGGGGTGTACCTGCGGGGCCTGCCGGGAGGAAGGGGAAGGTCCCCAGCGGGGGTCCAGGGGTTGCAGTGGAGCAGGGGCTCTGCAGGCCACTGTAGAGGCTTCTCTGTGCGGAGAGAGGGTGAAGGGGAAACTGAGGCCCACACCCAGGCCGCCCTGTCTGCCCTCATCAGCCCCACCACACCCTCCCCTCACTCACGGAGGTGTTTAGTGCCCCTCGGGGCCCAGCCAGGCCACCAGGTAGGTCTGGCCTCCGCCCTTCTGTCGGCAGGTACAGTGGGGGTGGTGTCTTGCTCGTGAGGTGGCTTGGTGAGAAGAGAGGGTGCACCAGGCCTGGGGAAGAGGAGACCCCAGAGAGAGACCCCAGAGAGAGAGGACAGGCGGGCCATGTCAACTAATGAAGTCTGAGGTTTAGAGGTGATGCACACAGCCCGGCAGTGCCAGAGCCAAGATGCACCCAAACAGCCCCCCTGGACCCCACCCCCACCCCACTGTCCCATGCTCACCTGGGGGCCCGGCTTTGGGGGCTGCTGGTCGGAAGGGAGATGGGCGGCTCTGGGCGGGCAGTGCCTCCCCAAGCCCACTGGGGTCACAGCCTGGTGGCGGCAGGGCCCCGTACACCATGTCTGGGCTGGGCATAGCAGGAGCTGCAGGCTTTGGGTAGAGAGGGGATGGGTCAGAGGACCCCAGGCCAGATGGGGTCCAAGGGAGAAAATCCTGATGAGTTCAGGGGCCCAGCTCTACCTTCAGGAAGCCTTTGCTGCACCTCCCACCAGGCTCCCTACCTGCTCTAACCCCACAGGCTGGGGGAGCTTCTGTCTGACTGCCTATCCTTGACAGGTAGGTTCAGAGCCAAGGCCTCTCACTTAGTGTAGAGTTGGCACTGAGGGGGCTGCACAGAGTGTTTGATGAATCAAAGATGAAATGAAGGAGGGAACTGTTCAGCTGTTGAACTCTTATTCATCCTTCAAAGCCCCAGCTACGGTGCCCACTTCTCAAAGAAGCCTTTCCTGCCCAACCAGGTGGAGACCTGCCTCCAAACTCTAGGATCCCTGGCTCTAAGCCCCTCTCTCAGTACCAGCCTCAACAACTTGGGCCTAGGAAGTAGGAGGAATGCCCCATTCACAGAGCCAGGGAGTCACTTACATACAGCCGGGGTCGGGGCAAGGCTGGATCACCCCCTTCGCCTGCCAGCCTCCGAAACTTCTCTCCTGGCTCCTCAGGCCCTTCATCTGGCTCCAGTTCTGGCCCATCAAGGCCAATGCCCCTCCGCTTCAGCGTCTATGGGGACAGGAGACAACAGGGTAGACGCTTACCCCTACCCTAGCCAGGGAACCCAGTTCTATGGGAGAGGGGAGAGACTATCCCCATCCAGCTCCATGAATGGGGAGGAATGCAGGCATGGCCTGCTCTAGCCAAACCCCACTGACCAAACCCCAGTGAGATACCATCTAGCAATTTCCTCCCCTGGGACCAGAGAGCCCAGGGTCCTGCCCAGATCGACATAGCAGGAGCTGAGATTCATGCAGGCCTGTTGGCACTGTCCTAATGCTGCTCCTGACATGACTCCAGGACCTCCATTCTGCCCCCACTTGCAGCCTCATAGCCTGGCATCAAAAGCTGCTTAAGAGGCTGGGCGCGGTGGCTCACGCCTATAATCCCAGCACTTTGGGAGGCCGAGGCAGGCAGATTCACTTGAGGTCAGGAGTTTGAGACCAGCCTGGCCAACATGGTAAGACCTCCATCTCTACTAAAAATATACAAATTAGCCAGGCATGGTGGCGTATGCCTGTGGTCAGAGCTATTCGGGAGGCTGAGGCAGGAGAATACTTGAATCTGAGAGGCAGAGGTTGTGGTGAGCTGAGATTGTGCCACTGCACTGCAGAGTGGGCGACAAAGCGAGACTCGGTCTCAAAAAAAGAAAAAAAAGCTGCTTAAGAAACGCCAGCAGATTTCCTGAGCTGCCTTCTCCTGTGGCCACAGAACCACACACTCCTGGACCCCAACCTCTTCTTTGCCAACTTCTGCCCCATACTTCCAAAACACTGGGGACTCCCAGGCCTAGTCCTAGCCCGCTGCTCTCTGCAGCCCTTAGGCTTTAGCTTCCCATCCCAGTGAAGACCCCTCTGTCTTTTTTATTTATTTATTTATTTATTTATTTGTTATTTTATTTACTTATTTTTTTGAGACAGAGTCTTGCTCTGTTGCCCAGGCTGGAGTGAAATGGCGTGATCTGGGCTCACTGCAACCTCCGCCTCCCGGGTTCAAGCAATTCTCCTACTTCAGCCTCCCAAGTAGCTTGGATTAGAGGCATGAGCCACCACGCCCGGCTAATTTTTGTGTTTTTAGTAGAGACTGGGTTATGCCATGTTGGCCAGGCTGGTCTAGAATCCCTGACCTCAAGGGATCCCCCTGCCTCAGTCTCCAAAAGTGCTGGGATTGCAGGTGTGAGCCGCCGCGACCTGCCAGATGTGCTTTATTTCTGCTGTCCCTAGAAAGGTCCCCCGACTCTAGGGACAGCAGAAATAAAGGACATCAGCCCGTAAAGCCAGATGAAGATGCTCATCTTTTGTGCAAACCGAGAGTCCCTGGGCTCTGAGAAAGCAGTGTGCACCGGGCCTGGTGGGGTCGGGGAGGAGGACCTGGGGTACCTCGAGGATATCAGTGTTGGTGCGGCTCTCGTGGGGCTCGCTGTACTCCGTATACTTCAGCAGCACGCGGTCCATGTCCGTGCTGGCGTACTGGAAGAGGCGGTTGGCGCTGTTGAAGATGATGAGGGCTATCTCACAGTCGCAGAGCACGCTCAGCTCATAGGCTTTCTTCATCAGCCCGAACTTCCGCTTGGTGAACGTTACCTGGACCCAGGATCCGCAGGGGTAGGGGAGAGAAGAAGAGACGAATGTGGGGTGGTGTGGGGGAAGTGGCAGGGCCGAACTCTTCCTCGAACATACCTCAGGATTCTTTCTGGCTGCGCTGGTAATTCTCATGTCACAACCTAGCAAACTCCTACTGGAGCTTCAAAACCCAGCCCAAATGTCTCCTGCCCTTTGAGAAGTGTGCCTTGGGTTCCCAAGCAGAGCCCACATGCTCTCTCTGGGCTTTCCCAGTTCTGGGCCTCCCTCTGTTCTGGCCCTCTGAGTTGGGTGTGGCTGTGTCGAGCTCCATCTCCCCTGTGGCTGGGGTTCCAGCCATCAGGGAGAATAAATGAATAAATGATCATGAAAATGAGCAGGCCGGGCGCGGTGGCTCAGCCTGAGGTCCCAGCACTTTGGGAGGCCGAGGCAGGAGGATTGATTGAGGTCAGGAGTTCGAGGCTAGCTTGGGCAACATGGTGAGACCCCGACTCTACTAAAACTACCAAAATTAGCCTAGCCGGGTGTGGTGGCGGTCGCCTGTAATCCCAGCTATTCGGAAGGCTGAGGCAGGAGAATCACTTGAACTCAGGAGGCAGAGCTTGCAGTGAGCTGAGATTGCTCCACGCACTCCAGCCTGGGTGACAAAGTGAACTCTGTCTCAAAAAAAAAGAAAAGGAAGGAAGGATGGATGGAAAGAGAGAGGGAAGGAGGGAGGGAAGGAGGGAGGGAAGGAGGGAGGGAGGGAAGGAGGCAGAGAGGGAAGGAGGGAGTGAGGAAGGGAGGGAGGAGAAACAAGAAACACTGACAAGCTGGGCACAGTGGCTTACGCCTGTAATCCCAGCACTCTGGGAGGACGAGGCCGGCGGATCACAAGGTCAGGAGTTCAAGACTACCCTGGCCCACATGGTGAAACCCCGTCTCTACTAAAAATGCAAAATTAGCTAGGCATGGTAGTGCGTGCCTGTAATCCCAGCTACTCAGGAGGCTGAGGAAGGAGAATCGTTTGAACCTGGGAGGCAGAGGTTGCAGTGAGCTGAGATTGTACCATAGCACTCCAGCCTGGGCAATAGAGTGAGACTTCATCTCAAAAAAAAAAAAAAAAAAAAAAAAAAAAAAAAAAAAAAAAAAAGAAAGAAATGCTGACACAGCATCAGGACTCCTCAAGCCTCCTCATTCCCCTGCAGTTCAATTGGTCAGGTCAGCCCCTTGCCTAGGCCACGCCCCCTGCTAGGAATGTCTTTCCCAACCACTGTTCCACCCGGTGGAACTCACCTGCCGATTCCTTTGGTCCAGGATGCGGGAGATCTGGATTTTTTTCCTCCCCATCGTCCCAGGCTGAGTGGAGTGATCTCTGTCTAGGAGGAGAAGAGGGAGAGGACAGAGTGAGTGGGTGGAGAGTGGGGAGGGGTACCCCAGCCTCACGCCTCTCCTCTACCTGCCCCTGTCAGTCACTGAGGGGAAGATGATGGGGAAAATCAAGGCAGGCTGGGTCACTGTCGCAGACTCCGCCCCCGGCCAGCCTGAGGATGCAGTAGAGGCTCAATAAACATGTTTAGACCAAATGGGGCATGGTGGCTCACGCCTGTGATCCTTAGCATTTTGGGAGGCCAAGGCGGGAGGATCACTTGAGCCCAGGAGTTTGAGGCCAGCCTGGGCAACATGTTGAAACCCCGGCTCTACAAAAAATGCAAAAATTAGCCAGGCATGGTGGCACACGTCTGTAGTCCCAGCTACTCTGGTGGCTGAAGTAGGAGGATCACTTGAGCTGGGGAGGTTGAGGCTGCTGTAGCAGGAGGATGCAGGCACACTCTGGAAAGGCCTCCAGCTCGGAGTCCTTGGGCCAGGATGTGGGCCTGGCATCCACTTGGTGACTTGGAAGAACTCCTGTACCCCACTCAAGGAGATGTGAGATTGCCCTGGTAGGGGTCCCAGAAGGAGGAGACTGCTGGACTATGTTGGGGTCCAGGCCTTCCCCAGAGACCCCCACACGAGGTTCCTGGGAACAATCAAATCACGTGGCCTCTCTTGCAGCCACTGCCCGCTGTACAGACATCCCCTGACACCCCAGGGGACGTCCCCGCTCCGCCAACTGTGTGACCACACTCCACCTCCCAGCCTCTACCATGTCACAGGTGACTGAGGCTGCAGGCAAGGGGCCTCTCCAGGGTCACGCGGACCTGCGCTCGGGCCTGGCCTTCCCTCTGACCCTCAGGGCAGCCCTCAGCACAGAAGGCCCTTTCCCCAGGCCTTAGTTTGCTCTTCTGTGAATGGGCTGGTATGAAATGCTGAGCACCCACCACCAGGCTTGGCAACAAGTTATCAAGAAATCCAGATCAGGCCAGGCACAGTGGCTCACGCCTGTAATCCCAGCACTTTGGGAGGCCCAGGCAGGCAGATCACTTGAGATCAGGAGTTCAAGACCAGCCTGGCCAACATGCCAAAACCCTGTCTCTATTTTTTTTTTTTTGAGATAAGTTTCACTCTTATTGCTCAGGCTGAAGTGCAATGGCGCAATCTCTGCTCACTAAAACCTCCGCCTCCCAAGTTCAAGTGATTTTCCTGCCTCAGTCTCCTAAGTAGCTGGGATTACAGGCACCCTCCACTATGCCCAGCTAATTTTTGTATTTTTAGTAGAGATGGGGTTTCACCATGTTAGTCAGGCTGGTCTCAAACTCCTGACCTCATGATCCACCCATCTTGGTCTCCCAAGGTGCTGGGATTACCACTGCATCCAACCTACCCTGTCTCTATTAAAAATGCAAAAATTAACCAGGTGTCGTGGTACACGCCTGTAGTCCCAGCCACTTGGGGGGCTGCGGCAGGAGTGCCGCTGCACCCCAGCCTGGGTGACAGAGCAAGACTTTGTCTTAAAAAGAAAAAGAAAAAGAAATCCGGCTGGGCGCAGTGGCTCATGCCACCCAGTATTTTGGGAGGCTGAGGTAGGTGGATCACGAGGTCAGGCGTTTGAGACCAGCCTGGCCAACATGGCGAAACCCCATCTCTACTAAAAATACAAAAATGAACCAGGCATAGAGGTGGGCGCCTGTAGACCCAGCTACTCGGGATGCCGAGTCAGGAGAATCCCTTGAACCTGGGAGGCAGAGGTTGCAGTGAGCCGAGATCCCGAGACTTTCACAGCCTTGGCAACAAAGTGAGACTCAGACTCAAAAAAAAAAAAAAAAAAGAAGGAAAGAAAGAAATCCAGATTGTTCTCTGGGAGTGGTCACAGGGGCTTGCCAGACCCCTGCCCAAGCAGTCTGGGAAAGGCCCTCCATTATCCCAGGGCCCGGAAGTGTCAGATACCTCGACTGGCATATATGGCATGCTGTGTGACCCCAGGCACACCCTCTGCCCTCTCTGGGCTGGGTCTCTGAGCCCCCACAACTATGTAGAGCTCAGGCTGTCGGTCCCAGACCCTCAGCTCCGGCTTAACTTGCTAAATTTAACCTCCAGGGCTAATTTTAATCCCCAGCCGGAATCGGGACTGTTCCCACGGCTGGGATGTGTTGCCCCCACCCTGATGGGTCCCTGAGGGGTGGAGGGGGGCCTTGGTCCAGAGGTCCCAGTGCCAAGATGACTCCGGAAATGCCCCTGATGCCCGGGGTCCCATGAGAGCAGTGGCAGGGCTGGGGCTTAGGCCTGAGTCTCTTAAGCATGGAAGACCTGACTCGAGCCCCTTCTCACTCCATCTGTCCCCATTTTAGACATAGACACCACGGCTAGGGCAGAGGTCATGCGATGGGGGAGAACTGGGCAGTCTCTCTCTGCACTGAGACCCTCAGAGCTGAGACAGGAAGTGAGTTCCAGGCAGAAGGAACAGCAGGTGCCAGGGCCCTGAGGAGGGATAAGAAACAGCTATGAGGGGCCGGGCGCGGTGGCTCAAGCCTGTAATCCCAGCACTTTGGGAGGCCGAGACGGGCGGATCACGAGGTCAGGAGATCGAGACCATCCTGGCTAACACGGTGAAACCCCGACTGTACTAAAAAAAAAAAATACAAAAAACTAGCCGGGAGAGGTGGCGGGCGCCTGTAGTCCCAGCTACTCGGGAGGCTGAGGCAGGAGAATGGAGTAAACCCAGGAGGCGGAGCTTGCAGTGAGCTGAGATCTGGCCACTGTACTCCAGCCTGGGCGACAGAGCGAGATCCCGTCTCAAAAAAAAAAAAAAAAAAGTAACAGCTATGAGGTTGGAGGGTTCAAGTGATTCTCCCGGGTTCAAGCGATTCTCCTGGGTTCAAGTGATTCTCCCGTTTCAGCCTTCCGAGTAGCTGCGATTACAGGCATGCACTACCACACCCTGCTAATTTTGGTATTTTTAGTAGAGATGAGTTTCACCATGTTGGCCAGGCTGGTCTCAAACTCCTGGCCTCAAGTGATCTGTCTGCCCTGGCCTCCTAAAGTGCCGAGATTACAGGCGTGAGCCACCATGCCTGGCCATATTTATTTATTTTTTTGAGACACAGTCTTGCTGTGTTGCCCAGGCTGGAGTGCGGTGGTGCAATCTCAGCTCACTGCAGACTTGACCTCCCAGGCTCAAGTAATCCTCCCCCCTCAGCCTCCTGAATAGCTGGGACTACAGGTGAGTGCCACCACTCCGTGCTAATTTTTGTTTTATTTTTGCAGAGATGGAGTCTGACTATGTTGTCTAGGTTGGCCTCAAACTCCTGGCTTGAAGTGATCCTCCTGCCTCAACCTCCCAAAGGGCTGGGATTCCAGGTGTGAGCCACTGTACCTGGCCCACTGTGGGCCTTCTGAGCTGGAGGAGGGCTGTGGATTTTGGTCTAAGAGTGATGTGGAGCTATGAGGGCATATTTTATTTTATTTCCTATTTTATTTTATTTTTTATTTTTAATAGATATATATTTTTGAGATGGAGTCTCGCTCTGTCACCCAGGCTGAAGTGCAGTGGTGTGATCTCGACTCACTGCAACCTCCACCTCCCTGGTTCAAACGATTCTTCTGCCTCAGCCTCCCATGTAGCTGGGACTACAGGCATGTGCCACCACGCCCGGCAAATTTTTGTAGTTGTAGTAGAGACGGTGTTTCACCGTATTGGTCAGGCTAGTCTCAAACTCCTGACCTCATAATCCGCCTGCCTGGGCCTCCCAAAGTGCTGGGATTACAGGCATGAGCCACCGCGCCCAGCCTTTTATTTTATTTTTTGAGACAGAGTCTTGCTCTGTTATGCCAGCTGGAGTGCAGTGGCGTGATCTTCACCTCCCGGGTTCAAGCGATTCTCCTGCTTCAGCCTCCCAAGTAGCTGAGATTACAGGCGTGCACCACCACGCCTGGCTAATTTTTGTATTTTTTTTTTTTTTAATTTGAGACGGAGTCTTGCTCTCACCCAGGCTGGAGTGCAGTGGCGTGATCTCGGCTCACTGCAAGCTCTGCCTCCTAG